TGTGTGAGAATGGTATGCTCATGCTTTGTGTCCTTGTTCCAGGGTTCGTAGGTTCGAGTCTCCTTCTGCAGACATCAGTTGTTTATATTTATATATATATATATATATATAATATATATATGTAATATATAATATATAAATATATATGGGGTGGTAGGGGATGTAGAATATTTAAACGCTTCAGGAAGAATGCAAATACTCTTCTTGAAGCCTTTTTATCCATTTCTCCGTGGCTGTGAGTCCCACAATTTACACAGAGCGTGGACCCCATCTACATTGTATGTTCTATATATATATATATATATCATATATATATATAATCAATAAGATATATATGTTATATATATTATATATATATATATATCTAATATATATATATATATATATATGTTATATATATATATGTTTTTTCGTGGCCCGCGAATAGGGCAGAACTGGCGATCTTGCTTAAATCAGCAACGTTTATCTAGAGATACATATAGGACAAGTGAAAATTTGCGTATGTAATACATTTCTCCAAAATCATTCAGAACACCTAACGAAAAATATAATTTATTTCACTGTGTTTGTTTAGTTAGTATTAAATTATGTAAAACAAATCTAAAATATATTTAGATTGGGTTTACTGGAGGTTACCGGTGCGTTATTCGGGGATCAACGCCCCCGCGGGCACCAGCGTCCACGACCAGGCCTCCTCGATGGCATCAGGGCCTGGATCTATAGGCTGTACTGCTGGCCGCACGCAGTCCATAGTACGAGCCACAAGCCGGCTGATACGGCACTGACTTTAGGGTATCTGTCCAGCTCTCTCTTCAGGCGGCCAGTGGGTTATTGGCCAATTCCCCTAATGTTGATGGGAGGCTGTAGACAGTTTTGGCCCGAACATAGGCTAAAAATTAAATTGTTCTTGTTATAATATAGGTTAGGTAAGTTTTCTAAGATTCTTTTAGGTTGCAAAGCTAAAAAATTTTTTTTACACCATCCATTAATAGAAAAAAATTCTAGCTTTTAAACGTTTAAGAGACATTTTTAGAAAAGTATTTAATTTTTAAGAGTTTCTTGCTAATTTGGCCAGTTTTACATATTTGGCACGACATATATATATATATATATATTTATTATATTATATATTATATATACTATATATATATATATTTATATATATATAATATATATTATAATATATATACTAATATATATTTATTATATGGTTTAAAAAATGAAAAGTGGGGGTGAGTAGGGATAAGTGGAATATTCAAAAGGGCTTCAGGAAGAAAAGCAAATATTCTTCCTTAAAAGCCTTTTTTTCCATGTATAATGTATATTTGTTATATATATATATTATATATTATATATATTATTTATATATAATTTATATATATATATATTTTTATTTATATGTATATATTTATGTTGTGTGTGTGTGTGTACTCACTATTTGTGTGTGTACTCCACCTAAGTTGAGGTGCGGGGCGTCGAGTCCGAGCTGTTGGCCCGCCTCTTCACTGATCGCTACTAGGTCTACTCTCCTTGAGCGTGAGCTTTTATCATACATCTGCTTAAAGCTAGATATTGTATGGCATACTGCCTCCACTACATCGCTTCCAAACTATTCCACTTACTGACTTACTCTGTGGCTGAGAAAATTCAACTCATCCCATGCAACATTCCTGTATGATTCATCTGTGTCTTCAGTTCCAACTTTTGTCACTTGTTACTGTGGCAATCTTCTGGAACATCCTGTCTTTGTCCAACCTTGTCAATTCCTCTTCAGTATGTTTGTATGTCGTTATCATGTCCCCACCTATCTATCCTGTCCTCCAAGTGTTCGTTCCAGGTGATTTCCCTTAACCTCTCTCGTAGAGACATAACTCTTAGCTCTGGGACTAGTTCTTGTTGCAAACTTTGCACTTTCTCTAAGTTTCTTCACGTTGCTGGCTAGGTGTGGGTTCCCAAATGGTTCCGCCATACTCCAATATGGGCCTAACGTACATGCTCGGTTGTACCAGGGTCCTGAATGATTCCTTATTCAGATGTCGGAATGCTGTCTGAGGTTTTGCAGGCGCCATATGCTGCAGCAGTTACTTTGGTTGATGTGCGCTTCAGGAGATGTGCCTGGCGGTTATACTCACCCCAAAGATCTTTTCCTCTGAGTGAGGTTTGTAGTCTCTGGCCCCTAGACTGTACTCCGTCCTGCGGTTTCTTCTCTGGCCCTTCCCCAATCTTCATGACTTTGCATAGGTGGGATTGAACTCCAGGAGCCAATTGTGGCCAGCGTCTGCAGCCTGTCCAGATCCCTTTGTAGTTCTGCCTGTAGGTCTTCGATCGAGTGATTCTTCTCATCAATTAACGTATCTGCCAAACAGGGAAACTCAGAGTCTATTACTTCCGTCATGTCGTCCACAGATACAGAAACAGAGCCACTTGGATCTTAGGATTGACCCCTGCGGGACCCGCTGGTCACAGTGCTGCCCACTCTGACACCTCGCCAACGTACCATGACTCGCTGCTGTGTTCTTTGACCTCGAAAGTATTAACTGATCCATATGTAGTGCCTCTGTTCTCACCTGCTTGGTCCTCCAGTTTTTGCAACCTATCTCTTGTGTGGTAACTGTGTCAAACGCCTTCTTACAGTCAAGAAATGCATCCACCACCCCCTATCACCTGTGTGATGTGTGTGTGTGTGTGTGTGTGTGTGTGTGTGTGTGTGTGTGTGTTGTGTGTGTGTAATATCAATGCACCACCCAGATAATAGCGAAGTATAGACCAGAAATATCGCCAACAGGATTCGAAAACACACGTTGTGTCGGTATCACGAGCTGCTAGTGTGACTTACCTTCCACGTGACGCCTTAAAAACAGATACTTCAGAACGCCAGGACGCGGTAAGCCGGGTTACAAACAATGTTACTTCGTTGCCCCTGACACACAGTGTGCCTCAGCGTCGGGTCTCCAGCTATTTCTTTTCCTGTATGCTCTAGCCTCACGAGCATAACTATACTCAATGCACACAGAAACGGGAGGTATTACACAGAAAGTCGCAGCCGCAGGATTCAACCACCATGGTTGCTGTGCACGAGTGTGCCTTAACTCCCACCGTGACCCCTTCAACCACTTTCGCTTATTTCTGCCAAGCGGACTGAGTATAGTACCGATTGATGGATATTCAGTTGATGATATACTGCCAATAGTTCTTCTATAATATTTATGTAATTATTGCTATGATTGCTGACCAAGAAACCTGAGCAAGTGTTATGAATGCCGCCCAGGCTCTCAGCTCAGTATCTTGGATATTTCCCTCTAAATGAGGATCATTTAGTAATTTACGAATTTGGGGTCTGATGAAGATTCCTTCCTTTATTTTGGAATCATTAACTTTATGAAGCATCTTCAGATAGGCTTCTTCATCATCATCCAAGAGAGATATATCTTGAGGGTGGTACTGAAACAGGGAGATAATCTGAATGTTCCAGCGGTCCGATTGCAGAAGATCGGGATATGTCTTGGATTTGAATTTCGATAAAATTCCCGATACTCTTGTGATACAGAAATAACCCGTGGTGTGATCCTTTCGTTCCCTCCATAATACTGGGACTGCAAATGGCTTGCATGATTTCCTTCCAGCAAACTACTAAGCTAGATCAAGTCACTCTACAGCGATGTTGTGCCCATAACTTATTCCCCGATCTTCACACCAGTGGTGAAAATACGTTTTCACTGAGGGTTTTGTCTGAGTAAAACTGCCATAAATTTAACAAAAAATGTTCTTTCGTTTATTTACTGTAGGCATATAACTGGACAGTTGAAAATACCGCTTGCTCTCGAAAGAGAAAATATTCAGTCCATCAGTAGCAAAACAATCTCATAAATGCATAAAACTCAAGCAAAACAATAAATCATTTTCCATAGAATGACCAAACACTCAGCAGACAATAATATAGCTAAAAAGTAATTGTGGTGAGGGAGGTAAGTTCAAATTTGAATTTTCAGCTTCCAAAAACCAGTTGGAAACAAATGTCATTAAAAGTGAACCGAAACCTTAGTTGACCAGCGTTTTATAATAAAATGACCAAATCTAAGTGGTTATTAGTCATATATGTAACACCGTATAACTTTCACATAACTTTTAAATGTATGATGGAGATATGCTAAAGATATCATTTATATTTAAGTTAGTACACAGCTTTATGTATCTCGCATTACAACTGAAAAAAAAAAACTTGCCTTTATTTGGAAAATAGAAGGTGAGACATTGTAAGTGCATATATATAGTTCATGAGAGACTGTGAGATGGATGAGGAACCTCACAACTAACATTTGCCAAGATAGGAAAATTTAATAAACGTTTCAGTCCTTGTTTGTTATCAATGTTTGCTTTGTGATCCTCTTCCTGAGAATACAATAACTCTAACATATCTTTCAAGAAATGCTATCGTAAGTGTAGTTAAACACTTACAAGAAAATGATGTGATATGTATGTATGGGGGTGACGGGAGAGGTACAGTGATACCAACAATATGTAGATAAAGACACATGCATAGTTTAAAACATTTATTAAGGGAAGGTTTTGCCACCAGTGGCTGCTTCAGTTCTTACATTAGAACTTAAGAAGCTATTTATGGTCAAACGTTTCTCCAATAAATGTCTTGACATGTGCATGTGTCTTTACATAGATTGTGAATGTCAGTATATAGATTACTGATTATGCATTTGAATATATAGGTAATGTGTGTGAAGAGAGTCCCATAGAGTCTTTTATATGTTGTCTCTGTTTACTTCTTGACATTATGACCTCAATGTCTAGACGAGTGGGATCAACTTTCTATAACCTGTGTGGTCAATAAACCCGCGACTCTAACCACCGGTCTGTCTCAGATGTCATCCCAGTGTCAAGCCAGATACATCATCCTGCTTCTACTTTTCTCTTACGCATTGTTTTCCAACACATAATATAACCCAATTTTGTGCATTCTGCTTCGCCACATCAATGCTCTAACATAATATTCTCTTCCACAGAATGGAGATTACGCCTTTGCCTATGCCGTGGACTCTCCTGATTATAGTAACTTTCATGACCGGGCAGAAGCCCGTTCTGGCGATGAAACCCGTGGCCGCTTCAGAGTAGCTCTCCCTGACAACAGACTCCAGACAGTATTGTACAGAGCTGACGGGAAGGGATACACTGCTTTCATCTCCTACGATGACCATCCCGATTTCTCAGCCTTAAGGGCTTCCATCGGCCCCATAGGAGCAGCGCCTGAGATCGGCCAGTCAGTGCTGGAGAGCATTAGGAGAGGGGAGAACTGGAAAGCTCATAAGGACCAAAAAGATGGTAGACGACCCGACCATGAACCACAAGACACAAGTCACGAGGAGCTCGACAATACGGTCGTGTCGACATCTAGGCGGGTTCAACCCACGACTAGGCAGTCAAGAGTATCGAGTGCGCCACGGCGACAACCAACGCCATCACGCCCATCTACCTCTTCTCAAGCTGCAAGCCGAAGACCAGCCACGAAGCGTCCTGCAAGTCCAGCATCTCAGCGTCTCAGAACTGCTACCCCCGTCGCTTCTGCACCCTCCACCAGCAAGGAACCTATTTCCCTCTTTATTTCTGAAGATTTCTACGATGACGAGATCCTAAATCGCTTAATGAAAGCAATTAATAAAGAAGCATTGAAGGATGCTCAGGAGGCGCCATTAGATGACGATTCCGAGGAAAAGGCCCTATCGACACACGTATCGGGGATAAACCCAGCGGGGGCCCGACTGAAAGCCGGGGGTTCACAGGGTTCAACTGGCCCACCGAGCCCCTCCGGGGGTTAATTAGCTATTCCCCCTTTCTTGCCAATAAACCCATAAGTGTAGTTTTCCATGTACAAATTGAAAATATCAGGGTTAAATTTCCATCTTAAATAAAAATCGCCCTTTAATTTTTTTTCTTTCTTGGAGCTTCAAATAATTTTTTATAAATCAAAGTTTCCCTAATGCATGTTATATATATTTAATATTTATAATATATAATTTTATATATATATATATATATATATATATATATTATATATATATATATATATATATATATAAATAATATATTAAAAATATATAATATATTTTATATATATATAAAAAATTTAAAAGTTTTTAATTACTTTTCTAAGCATTTTTATTACTAAAAAAATCTGATCTCAAATAATCGAAAAATATTTAATACTTCATTCTCTCTGTCACCATCATGTTCCACTTGAAACAAGATGGGGTAAAGAGCTCGACGTGAAAAGACAATGCATGTTCACTGAAGGTCGGGTAGATTATTTTTATAATCAAAAAGAAGCGCTAACCACAAGGACTATACAGGGTGTGGGTAGAGAGCTTTCATCATCCCAGCTATGCATTTAGCCTTCCTCTGTTCCTCATCTTTAACCCAAAAAAAAAAAAACTTTTGCTTTCCCTTTGCTTGTCTCCGTTAACAAGATATTTGGTAAATTAATTTAAATTTGACTTTTTTTATTAATATTGTCTTTGCAATTTTCACCAACAAATTTATAAATTTTTTTAATTTATTTTCCACGAAACGAACGTATGTGGGGTTTACCCATCACGAAGTAAAAATATTTACACCAAAAAAATGTCCTTTTTAAAAGACTGGAAAAAAAGTTCCCAGCACAATTCTCCCCCACATGGGAAGAGCTCCTTTATAGACTGAAACACGTATAGCCCCGTACAGAATTCAAAGAAATTCCATGTACGTTTCGTCGGCTATGACGGGATCGCGTCTCTCAGGGGTGTGAGAGTTTTTGTGGTATGTACGGGTGCTAGTGTATGTTGTATTTAAGAATACCCCAGAAAAATTTTTCCCGTACCCTACTCTTACCATATCTAATTTAAACGAGGTACAATGTGTGCATTTTTTACTATAAAAGATGGGAAAATTCTAAATATACCACAAATAATATTAATTTTATTGAGTCTCGTTTAGTTTTGATATAAAAAAAATGGCCATTGAACGTAGTGAAAAAAAAGAAAAAATTTTTTTTTCAAGCTAAATTAAATTTTTTTTTTTAACCCACCGAACTTCTTGAGCATTTTATTAAGATTCAAGATTTGAGAATTACAGCAGTGGGTTTTTACTGTCACTGATCATGAAAAATTTCACTCTGAACTAAACCCTAAGCTGCGCCGCAGGATACCCCAAATTTTATCTATATTAATGAATCTTTTGGGAAAGTTGGCACTTATGGCCTAGTAAACATTACTAACACCGGGACTGACTGTACAAAGGTTTATAACATAAACACTGTAGGCCAAGACTGATGTTAGCCTCAATGATGGTAGTCTCACAGATGGTAGTCTCACCTATGTTAGCCTCACTAATGTTAGCCTCACTGATGTTAGCCTCACGATGTTAGCCTCAAGATGTTAGCCCCATGATGTTAGCCTCAATGATTTAGCCTCACTGTGTTAGCCTCAAAGATGTTAGCCTCACTGAGTTAGCCTCACGAGTTAGCCCCACTGATGTTAGCCTCACTGATGTTAGCCCACTGATTTGCCCCACGATTTACCTCAATGAGTTGCCTCAGATGTTAGCTCACTGATGTTTGCTCATATGTTAGCCTCCTGTGTTTGCCTCACTGATGTTAGCCTCACTGATGTTAGCCTCACTGATGTTAGCCTCACTGATGTTAGCCTCACTGATGTTAGCCTCACTGATGTTAGCCTCACTGATGTTAGCCTCACTGATGTTAGCCTCACTGATGTTAGCCTCACGATGTTAGCCTCACTGATGTTGCCCCACGTGTTAGGTCAATGATGTTAGCCTCCCGATGTTAGCCTCACAATGTTAGCCCCATGAAGTTGCCTCACTGATTTAGCCTCACTGAGTTGCCTCACGGATGTTGCCTACTGATTAGCCTACGGATTTAGCCCACGATGTTTCCTCACGTGTTACCCACGATGTTTGCCTCACGGATTTTGCCCATGATGTTGCCCCGATGTTAGCCTCACGGAGTTAACCTCACTGATGTTAGCCCCACTGATGTTTTTGCCTCATGATGTTAGCCCACTTTAAAAGTTGCCTCATGGTTAGCCTCATGAGTTAGCCTCACTGTGTTTGCCTCACTGATGTTAGCCCCCACTGAGTTGCCTCACGATGTTAGCCTCATGATTTAACCCCACTGTGTTAGCCTCCTGATGTTAGCCTCACAGTGTTAGCCTCCTGTGTTAGCCTCACTGATGTTAGCCTCACTGATGTTAGCCTCATGTGTTAGCCCTGATGTTAGCCTCACGATGTTAGCCCACTGATGTTAGCCTCCTGATGTTAGCCCCAAGATGTTAGCCCAATGAGTTAGCCTCCTGAGTTAGCCTCACTGATGTTAGCCTCAAGATGTTAGCCTCACTGATTTAGCCTCACTGATGTTAAAACCCCACTGATGTTAGCCTCCTGATGTAGCCTCAATGATGTTAGCCCCACTGTGTTAAACCCCATGATGTTAGCCTCACTGATGTTAGCATCACTGATGTTAGCCTACGAGTTAGCCCCATGATGTTAGTCTCACTGATGTTAGCCTCATGATGTTAGCCTCACGATGTTAGCCTCCAAAAGTTACCTCCTGATTTAGCCCATGATGTTGCCCACTGATGTTAGCCTCACAGATGTTAGCCCATGAGTTTGCCTCACTGATGTTAGCCTCAGAGTTTCCCACTGATGTTTGCCCCACGAGTTTCCTCACTGATTTAGCCTCACCCATGTTAGCCTCACAGATTTGCCTCCGATGTTAGCCTCACTGATGTTACCCCCTGATGTTGCCTCAGGGTGTTAGCCTCATGATGTGCCCACAGATGTTAGCCCCACGGAGTTGCCTCACTGATGTTAGCCTCACTGAGTTTCCTCACTGATGTTAGCCCACGGATTTAGCCTCACTGATGTTAGCCTCACTGAGTTAGCCTCACTGTTTAGCCTCAGATGTTAGCCTCACAGATGGTAGCCTCCAGATGGTAGTCACGTGGGTAGCCTCAAAATGGTGCCCACAGATGGCAAGTCTCCTAGTGAACAAAAAAAAGATGTTATTAAAATTAGAAATGTCTGAAGATCCTGAAGCACTAATATTGTTAAAAGAAAGAAAAAAATATTGTAATTTTCAAATTTGTATATTTATATATATATATATATATATAATATATATTATATATAAATATATTATATATATATATTTATATATATATATTATTTAAAATTTTATATATGGGCTTTATGGGTTTCAATGGTCAAATAATCAAAATTTAAAAAATATGTTTTTAATTGTTTTCTTCGGGTTAACGTAATATTTATATGAAAATTAAGGATATTCATTTTTTTTTTAAAAAAAAAACATGGCAACCTAACCTAACCATCCGAACATAACACACAACCTACCTAACTAAGGTCAGCGTAAACGTTAGTAATATGAATAAATAAAGAATGGACGGGGGAAATCGAAACCCTGGGCCCTGCGAACACACCTACATGTAACCACTTAGCCACGGGAACTCACGAATGGGGCAATCCCCGTCCTTATTCTTCTTAGCCTGACATTCGTTCATTTCACCAAATTTGGGGTTATTTAATATTATTTAAATTTCAATGAAATAACTATTTCGCCTTGTTTCAGGGCTGACACTCGCAAGTTTTTAAAAAAATTACAAAAGTAAGGCTTTTTCTGACCTAACGTCCTTGCCCCGTAAGTAAATCGGCATGGTTCCGGCATAAATACATAGTACTCACTATTATGTATCAAGAAAAATGGGAAGCCACATATATTAGTATCAAATCAATGGTAAGCCACGTTTATTATTTCAAGATCAATGGTAAGCCACGTATATTATGTTCAAGATCAATGGCAAGTACGTGTATTATGTATCAAGTTTAAGAAGCCCATATATTATTACAAGATCAATGGTAAGCCCCGTTATTATGTATCAAGATCAATGGAAGTCACGTGTATTATGTATCAAGATCATTTGGTAAACCATTTATTTTAAAACAAAGGTAAGCCACTAATGTTCAACAAATGTAGAATGTTTTCCTGTACATATTTCATTTAAAACAATCTCTCTCTCTTTCAAGAATCAGTAAGTCACAGCACCGTGGCTGGATCAGTTCACTAAAACCCCACAGTCAGGAGAGGAACTTCATGACGACCTTGCGGTCTATCCTGGACAACTGTCAAGTCCTGTACAGTGGTCCAGGACGGACCGAAACGTCACAGTGAAGTTCCTCTCCTAAACGAGGGCTTTGGGAGACTCTGTATTTCGACTTTCAGAGAAATTACTGTTTGTACATACACATTCTTCCCCTCCCCCCTCGCTGAACATTAATAAAAAATATATTTTGTACAGCAAACCTGTGTTTTCTTTCGCTACCGTGCCATTTCTAAGACAGGACAAGAAAAACTCCATAGATCTGAACGGAACTACTTGATAAATGACAGCATTTTTCATTTCCAACATTTTAAGTGACGGTCTTAGAACTGGTAGCACACTTTAACGTGTATCGAGACTGGGGGGCCCTTGATGAAGGTGAAGGGCTCTTGATTCAAGGAATTAATGATACCCTTTTCTTGGATCAAATCTGATGGCTTCCCACTTTCCAAGTCTCTGAATGACACGAGATATTTAAAAAATATATAATAGTAATAATAATAATAATAATAATAATAATAATAATAATAATAATAATAATAATAATAATAATAATAATAAAATATTAAAAATATAATAAAAATAATAAAAGAAAGAAGCAGAAATAGAAGTAGGAGAAGTAGTAGAAGAAGCAGAAGTAGAAGTAGAGG